ATAAGAGCGAGATCCTGTAGCCTGGTGGTACTTCACTTTTGCACGGTTTCACTTGTTCTTCTTAGATATTTCCTATAGCTTCATTTGTGTTAGAGTACAGCACAAGTAGACCATAGCAAGACTAGACAGGAAATCGATGGGTTCACACACCTTGTTCTTAGCACTAGACCAAATCTTGACAAGTTTACACCACTGTGCATCGTTCATGGACGAGACAGGAGAGGTCATACGAATCTGATTAGCAGGGACACCATTGAAGTATGTTCTCTTCAACATGTAGCATGCCTGCCGTACCACAGACTACATTACATTCTGACAAGCTTTTTTTGTTGGTGAGTGAGAACTGTTAACGCGCAGCCTTCCCTACACACAGTAGTGTGAATGAAAAGTAAATACATTAAAGTTGCTCAATGCAGAGTTGAATGTCAAGAGGGGATACCCATACATACATTTAGCCTTTCCACAAATCTTGTGCAATAGACAACGCTGGGCTTCTCCCCCTTGTATTCTTTCCAATGTGTCAAAATTGGTACTTCCTTCCTGACTACTACACCTACCTCTGAGGCAAACTTGGTAGCTTGCACTCGATCATGTGGCCTTCTGTTCCCCTCGGCAACAAAGATGCACATCCTCGCTCCTCCTAGTGATTTGCTTATTTTGTCAAGCATAATTCCACGAGTTCGAGGCCTCGGCTTCCTCATTCTTTGGCAATGGTACTACACAGTTTTCATACATTCAGATTATTAGAAAAGTTACATGGATATCAAATAGCTAGTGTAAATTGATTGATAGACATCTATAAGGTAATACCAACCTAGGTAAATTTCATCGTTCTACAGGTTGGGGAGATGGGAGTTTGCTGAGAGAGCTCCTCTTCAGTAGGGCTATCATCATCTGGTCATGAGGAGTCTCTCTAAGGGCTAGGTAGGGTGCTATCCCGACCAATGTCTCTAGTCAATTGATGAACATGGAATTGATACCATGGTCCGGGTGTCAGTCGTGATGGAGAATTATGTTTACCAACTGCTACTACATCCACCCATTTGCCAGCAGAAGACCTTCGAGTACAAAATCCTTGAGTAGCCTCTTCTGGTGGTGTTGACCTCACTTGCTTGAGAGCCTTCACCCAAGACTCATGGCAGCGCTGCCTTTTGTTCTGCTGGCAGAGCCTCCTATATGGCTTCTTCGATCCAGACACTAAAATTGGAGATACAAACTTAAGTAGCAATCATGTACAAATTCCATTGATATCCAAACAATAAAGCACTGCATGGCTAGCTACCCCCTTTGCCTTGCCTCCCTGCCCCTCCGAACTAAATACAAGATAGAACAAGCACCTCATCAATTGATAGGGGCACTGGCTCATCTTCTAAATCTGAATCTGTGTCATCTGTATCATCAAATCCCTCAACTACCTCCCCTGGTTCAGGAATATATTCCAAATCTTCACCATGTCTACCCTTTGTGCTTGACTTTTTGCCTTTGGAGACATAGGTTTTGGGCCCACACGTCGTATTCCAAGTTCTTTCATCTTTCTATGATTCCTTGCGATTTGTGCATCCCGTGCTCATTCATAAGTAGTTAGTGGGTGTTCATCTAGATTACAAAGGCATTTATTAACTAAAGCTTCTACGGAATGTCAACACAGCAGAGCAAGAGTATGCAAATAAGTGCCTAACTAGTAACTACAGCTTGTACGGAAGTCATCAATCCAATAAAGCACATGTCAGCTACAGTCAACTATAGGAAATATGTAATCCCATCGCTATGTACATATCCTTGGTTCAGCCAATATAGTAGAGCACACATCATAAAAGGAATTTGGGTACCTATTCCTCCATGTTCCCTAGCTTTGCTTTGTCATCGGCACCGATGTCCTGTCATCGCGGTCGCAGAGCTAGTGCGACCGGCGTTGACGAAGGGATACCAGATCTAGCTTCGGCTAGGGATCAGATCTGGTCGGTCATGATAGGTGCCAAGGTAGGTAGGGGATCCAGATGCGGCTTGTACCATCATCAAGGCGGTCCTTTCGCCGTCAGTTGATCGACCTGCTGTCGATGAATCGAAGGGGATCAGGCTTCGGCTAGAGTTCGGAAATGTATGAGAGAGGGTGCTGCTAGAGGGTGGAGAGGGAGTTGAGCTGCTGTTCCGATGGCGCCTAGGGTCCATAGCGGGGTGGCAGAGGGGGCGGCTGGAGAGTGGAAAGGGAGGCCATGGGACTAGGATTTGGAGCTGGAGGAGAGATGGTGTGGCTAGAGAATGGAGATGGAGGCGGTGACAGTGACTCTTTACGCTTTTATGTGGCCATCACATTACCACAAATGCCCTTGTCTGAAATTGATGGCATGGTATACCTATTTTCCGCACGGAGGGCAAAAGAGAGACATCTAATTTTTGGTGCGTGTTGGCGGGACTGCTCGGCGTGGTGCGAAATCAAATTTTCGGGCGGGCAGACTACCCCGTCTGCTCAGCGGAGACCAGAATTTCGGGAGGCCTTAGTTGTTGACTTTTTGGTTTTTTCATAATATAAATAAACATAAAACTAAAATAGGATGATAATAAACAATTAAAAGATCCATGAATTTGACACCTAAAGATTACCAAAAAAAGAAAAAATAAACCTGCTCGCTGCAGCTTATTGTGCTGCAATTGGCGATTTTTTTGTGTGTGTGTGACTGCATCTGCGGTTGTTTGAACTAAGGCCTATAATTAGGAAGCAAGGGGAAGGCACGCCCAGGGATGGAAAACCCTCCAAAAAACCAAATGGGTTATTCAAATGATATCCCCATGGATGTCCCACCTTGGAAAAAGTAATCATGGATTCTAAGGTGCTTTGAGTTTCTAGAGAAGAGAAAAAATTAAAGCATCCTCCTCTTGGCTAGCGCTCTTGCAATTCGCCGACTCGCCAGTACTCTAGATTGTCCTCCTCGCTAGAGTCGCAGTCGGTGCTATACTTTCCATCTCTCGAGTATGTCCCCATTGTTCATGAGCCTCGAGCCGGTCGCCAACGCCGTCTCAGTGAAGGTGAACGTGGACGACAACATCCTACATGCCTACCTCGACCCTTGATCTGTGGGACGTTTTAGTAGTACAAGTCATGACTAGGCTTGGTCTATGGGATGACCGTATGTGAAGTCTTATTTGCATGCATATCTGTGTTAACTTTTGTTGAACTTTGTATTAGGTCGGTTAAACTTTCTTGAGCGTTGTGTAGCTTAGGTCCTTTGGTCATTTGGTAACTGGTTATACTAATGGTGTTTGCCCTTTCTGATTGGAGGACGTGGGTGTATAGATGTTGAAATTTTCTGGACCCTAAGACAGTCCGACCCTACAAATATATAGACGATCCAGATCATTATGAAATAAAGGGGCTATCCTTGTAGTCCATAGAACCCGACTACCAGGGGCTAACAACTAGTTCTAATCTATAGATCCCATCAATTAGTTGAGGATACAAATAGGTATGGACTAATAACACAACTAATTGGCTAATTTTTAGTTGGCTATTTTTTAGCCATGGCTAACTAGTCGCAGTCCATCCAAACAGAGCATAAGACAGTCCGATACTAAAGAAATCTTGACAAGCCGGATCATAGTTTTAATGAAACAACAAAATATAGATCGTGTCAACTCTTGCACCGTATATGTGGGGTCGTGGGCGCGCAGCCGTGCATGTGTGGGTCATGGGGTGGTCCACGACCCACGAACTATATAACAGTAGATACAAGGGGTGAGAGGAAGGCTCTCCAGAGCTCCTCCTTTAGTTGCATCCCAAAGCTTTTGCCCTCCTCCCTACTGCTGGGCATCTTTGTTCTTCATTTTTTCTGTATATTGTTTTCTTTTTTACACGGATCATGGATAACTATGACCATTCTTGGGACATGTCTGTGTATCGCTATGTCTTCTGCGAGCTTCATGTTCGCCATGGCCTACAAACAAGGGTTGTAGTGTTGCAGTGCATTCTAACTTTTACAGTAGGTGGTACATTGCTTCTGTAGTTGTTCATTAAGTTCTTGGCCATCGAAACTACCGTCTTGCTGAGATTCATCTAGGACCCTATGAGTTTGTTGTAGTTCATTCAAATGCAGATCTCCAAACTTTGCTTTCATACCGCTATCCGTGGTGCAGAAGTATTTTCTCATTGTATTCGTTATCAGGGGGAGTGGTACGAGTGGGTCAAGGAGATGAGCGAGGACGAGGCAAAACTTTAGGTATGAGCTACTAGGCGGAGATGGAGCGGCCACGATGAATTTCACCGACGCGTTGACTTCGTTGGCGGCGAGCAGAGAGAGGAAAAAGAGGAGGAGCGCTGGCTGCTTCACGTTTCAAAGGACGAGGACGATGTCGTGGCTTTGGCAGCGTCTTCTCGAGCTTGGCCTCGCGCACGGCCGCGTGTCCACATGCGTGAAACAGCGCGTAGGCGCTGGACGGCGGCGAGCAGGTAGCTACCTGGCATAGCTGCCGATGCTACTGTTTACCGACTGAACCTTCATCTTCTCCTCCTTTCTCTTGATTCCGTGCAGAAATACTACACCACAACACGGCTTCCCCGTCAAACATCTAACGCTAAAAATTATATTTGGCGATGGATGATCTGATGCTAAAGATAACTCAAAGACCATCTGATGCTAAATCCTCATTTAGTGATTTAGTGTCTGTCGCTATAGGTATTCATATTTAGCGTTGAACCGTCTATCGCTAAAGACAAGTGTACCGTCAATCTATCTGTCGCTAAAGAAAATGGGCCCCATGCTGAGCTCGCGTGCCCCACAATATGGATCAAGACAAATAGCCCATCACGGCCCACACTCATAGCCGCAGCAAGCCCATACGGGCCCAAACTGGAACTCATTGGCGGCAACCCCTGCATACCCCCCGTGAGTTCGTGCCCCGTTCCCCCAAAATTTCCCCATTTCCTCCCCCTCCCCTTCCACCCGTAGCTCCCCGCGCCTAGAAGGGGAACCTAGCCGCCGCCACCGCCGCCGTGCAGCACGCCGCCCATGGCCTCCTCGTCGGAGAACACCGGCATGCCGCTAGAGGAGGAGCAGCCCCAGGCCCCGTCGATGCCGAACCTGGAGCCTACCGAGGCGGCGGCGCCCGGCGAGGCGGAGGAGGACCCGCAAACCCTAGAGAGGGCGCAGGAGCTCTTCAACAAGGGCGCCAAGGCCATCGAGGATGAGGACTTCGTCGAAGCCGTAGACTACCTCAGCCAAGCGCTCGAGATCAGGTTAGGGTTTCCTTTCCTACTCCAATTTCCCCTCCACTTCTGCGACATGTAGTTGTGAAGCGACTCCGCGTGTTGGCGTATTTTGGAGCAATTGGCGGTTGGTATGGTGCGTTTCTGTCCGAATTTGCTGGTTTTCGCATCAACGCTTGGGTGGCTCGGGGATTTAGTCCACTAGGGTTTAAGGGGTTCTGCAACAGACTGCTTAACAGGGGTGTTATCGTTTCGTTTATGTCGGTGAGTGAGATGCGGAGAGTCTATCGTTGTCAGGGATCTATTGGATTTGGCTCCGATACCTGTGGTTGTTTGTGGAGCAACACTTTGCCATGGTTTGTCATGGTGCCTAAATTGTGTTCACCATCAATTGGAGTGTACTGTTTTTTTAAACAACTTTGTAGTGTACTGTAGTATACAATGGTTAAGGAAAATGTGTTATCTGTCCGAGATTATGCAAACATTTCGGAAGTCAATCAACAACAAACTAACTTAGGACCTTGTATCAGTAACTTGGTTGATAAAATCTCTGTATCTATCAGTTTCAGTTGTGCTGCTCTATCTCGTTTTACATTGCCCCTCATGGCCTGATGCAAGTTATGTTAATAACCTTTACAGTGGTGCACTAACAATTTTGTGCATTCGTTGCCCACTAGGACTTCACATTTTGGAGAGCTCGCACTGGAGTGTGCCAGCACATACTTCAAATATGGATGCACTCTGCTATACAAAGCTCAGGAGGAAAGTGATTTTTTGGGAAATGTTCGCAAGAGCATGCCAAATGAAGAGTCAGCGAAGAGTACAGCTTCAAAAGATGATAGTGGAACCTCAAAGATCTCTGGTACTGTGGAGGTATTAACCCCTATACCCTTATGGCTAAGCTTGGGCCGGCCCGGATCGATGGGTTCAGTCCACCAAAAGATGACGTGCGGCCCGGTTAACCTGATCGGAGTCCCACGCAAGGAGTCAAGGCGGATTTGGCGATCAATCAAGATCCTGGTCGGTTAGAATAGGAATCCTTATCCAGCCACATATGGCAATTGTAACTGGCTAGGATTAGTTTCCAAATCTGTAACCCTGCCTCCCGAACTATATAAGGCAGGCAGGGGACCCCTCTAAAAAACATCTCTCATTGACATATAGCAATACAAATCAGACGTAGGACGTGGGTATTACGCCTTCTTGGCGGCCGAACCTGGATAAAACCTTATGTCTGTCTTGCGTCACCGTCTTGTTTGTGGCTTGCGCATCTGTCTGCCGACAATCTACTACCTTGGGTATACCCCTAGGTAGACTACCGACCATATTTCGTCGACAGTGGCGCGCCAGGTAGGGGGTGTGCATACTGCTTCCCAAGCAAACAAGACGGTCATCATCTCCGCCTCCATGGCTACGCTGAACGGCCTCACGTTCACCGTTGCCCAGATCACCTGGACCACCGGCTCCAATGACTTCATCGCCATGACCCCGGAGGAGGCGTGGATTCAGTCTGCGTCGACCACTGCTTCACCTACATCGGCTACGGCTCCGACCACGGTGGATACGGCTCCGACCACGGTGGACACGGCTCCGACCACGATGGATGCGGCTCCGACCATGATGGATCTGGCTCCAACCATGGTACATCTGGCTCTGACCACGCCTGCATCACCTTCAGCCACGCCGACAACTCGTCATCCGCTTCCCCGCTACAAAGGGAGGCAGATCGACAACACCGACCTGCTCGACTCCATCGATCGGGTCAGCACCAAGCTCACTGAAACCCTGGCTCTGGTAAGTACGATTCAAAGTCAGCCTAATGAGCAGGTAACCGCTCCCCACAATAGATCTACCCGACCAGCTCGGACCAGTCGTCCTGCACGACTTGGTACAGATCTTGTGGTCACATCTACTCCTCAAGGGCGCTCTGCTCGTCGCCGGCCAGCCTTCGCGATGGGTCTCCGGCTCTCCGAGTATGAAGCCTCGATGGAGAACTGCTAGGTCTAGCCCTATGGCCTGCAAAACGCTGCCTCCAGCTACGCCTATGACCTGCAACGCCGCTTGGATCTGTGTCTTATGCACCGACCTCAGCCGAAGCCGCGTGACTTCGTCAACATGATCCAGATTGAAGATTATCAAGAAGGATCCGTTCACACAGGCCAAGAGGGCGACCCCAGCTCCTCGTCTAGCACCGCATCTAATGCATCTGTCCACACCGAGCTTTAGCATCACGAAGATGAAGGCGTCAAGTACGATCTGGATATCCCAGACCATGCCTCGGGGTTCTCACAATTCCCGTCTTTCCTGCCAAGACGAGGGGATCTGATCCATGTTGTCAGCAATGACGAACCGCAAGCAGTTGGTGAAACAGAACAAGAAAGGACTGCACGCGAAGCACGCAATATTGACCGGTTTAATCGCCAACAAATCGAAGCCAAAGCAGACCAGGAGGCACGACACATAAGGGTCCAGCCACGTGACCTCAACGATGCTTTCGACAGGGTGGGGGACAAACAGGTCTTTAGAACTCCAAGTGCCAATGTAGCCGTTGCCATGGCAACAATGCAACGGCTACCCAACACTCCAGAAACCCAAGCAGTTTGCGATGAAATACAAGCCTATCTGATGGTTGCTATGGCCCAGACCACGGAGATTGTAAACTAAGCTCGGGCTCCATCCGTCTCGGTCGAGTCAAGCCACAACCGCCAGCACCCAAGTCGCTCACAGCCGCCCAACCAACGTGGTTCGCGCAACAACGACCCATCAGATAACCATCAAGAAGGAAACGGTGGCCATGATGGTGGCCAGGACGACAACCGCCGCCGGGACAACCGCGACAATTGCCGCGATAACCGTGGTCGCAGGGCTAATCCAGATGGCAATCGAGATCGCCGCGATGGCAAGAACGATCTCCGCCATTACCTCGGTGGACGCGATCTGCACGCTCGCATCAACCAGAGAGCTGACGATCGAGCGTCCCACGAAAGTTATCACCGTATGGAATATGACACTGCCCACGGCCCGCCGGGTTTGAAGCAGTTTACTCCACACCTTCGCCAAGTCATATGGCCCAAGAATTTCAAGCTCGAGAAGCTTCAGAAGTACAACGGCAAGGAAAACCCCGAATTATGGGTCATGCTTTATGAGACTGCGTGCAGATCAGCCATGGCAGACGAGCACGTCATGTCTAACTATTTCCCAGTCGCTGTTGGCCATGCGGGTCACCAATGGCTGGTCAGCTTGCCGGCGAACTATTTTGACTCTTGGCAGGAGCTCAAGCAAGCCTTCATCGACAACTTCATTGCTACTTGTGAACAACCAGGCAACAAATACGATCTGCAACGTATTCGAGATCGAAAAGATGAGCCACTGCGTGAGTACGTCCGGCGTTTCTCGGAGATGCGCATCAAGGTCCCATGAATCTCCGACAATGAGGCAATCGAGGCTTTCATCACTGGCCTCTGCTTCCACGATGCCCTAAGGGACAAGCTCCTCCGCAAAAGACCTGATTCGGTCACAGCGCTCCTGGCCACCGCTAAGAAATACGCGGATGCCGACGACGCTAAAAAGATAATTATTGAAGAAGCAGCAAGGGTTCCGCGCTCCGACCACCCCCCACACCGCGATGACTACTGCGGTAACCGTGGTCGGAACGACAATTTTGACCGCCGCAACCAGCGCAATGACTCCCGCGACCACCATGACCAACGTAATCAGCGGCGTAACCGCCGTGACGATTACAGGAGCAAGCATGCTCGGGAAGACGACGGCGAGGTCAACACCATTAAAAAGGGTGGCGGACGTCGTAACTATGAAGACGACTACGCCAAGGCATTGAAGGGGCCCTACCAGCTCCATCCTAAGTCGAACCATACCATGGAGAATTGCCGCGTCCTCAAGTCTATCTACACGCGTCAACAAGCTCTGGATACGTCCGACAAGCCTAACGACGTAGGGGAACAACGCAACAAGGATAACGACGACGACGATGCAGACCCCCGTCACGAGTACGTCAAGCCAACCGATTGCGTGCACACCATCATCGGAGGCAAAGTGTCCATCGAGACCAAACGAGAACGCAAGCTGCTCGCCCGCGCTTGCTTGAACGTGGCCAACACCGACAATCTCCTCACCGATCCGCGGCTCCCTCCGTGGTCTCACCGCGAAATCTCCTTCAGCAGAAAGGACCAATGGGCCGCAATACCTGAGCCAGGGCGTTTTCCCCTGGTCCTCGATCCTTGTATCAACAAAGTTCAGTTCGACAGAGTACCGATCGACGGCGGCAGCTCCATTGATATACTGTTCAAGAACAGTCTGCCCGCCCTGAAGATAGCTCAGGCAGACCTCAAGCCATACGAGGCACAGTTCTGGGGTGTTCTCCCCAGACAGAGCTCTACACCTCTCGGGCAGATCACGCTACCAGTGCAGTTTGGGACCCCGGATCACTTCCGCACCGACTACGTCAACTTCATGGTCGCCGACTTCGACGGCACCTACCATGCTATTCTTGGTCGACCGTCGCTCACCAAGTTCATGGCCATACCTCATTACAGGTATCTGGTGCTCAAGATGCCTACCGAGAAAGGAGTTCTAACCCTCCGAGGCAACGTGTACGCAGCTTATACCTGCGAAGATGACAATTTCAAAATAGCAGAGGCTCACGACCTCTTTATTCGCATGGCCGAGACCGTGCTCAACGCCAAGAAGACCTCGATCGACCACCAGGAGATCCCGGAGCTTGAGGCTCCATGCAAGAACATCAAGTCCAAGGAGCACAAGGTGATCCAGCTGGTCGACGGTGATCCCAGCAAGATGGCCCTTATCGGGGCCAACCTGGATCCAAAATAGGAAGACGCGCTCGTTAGGTTCTTGACGAGCAACGTGGATGTGTTCGCATGGAAACCTGCTGACATGCCCGGTGTACCTCGGAACTTGATTGAGCACTCCTTGAATGTCAACGGCAAGGCCAAACCTACCAAGCCGAAGCTACGACGGTTCGCTCGCGACAAAAAGGAGGCGATTAGGGTAGAAGTTACACGGCTTTTGGTAGCCGGATTTATTAAAGAAGTGTATCATCCGGAG